AAAATAGATCATAACTAAATTTATGCTATTTTTAAGCTAAAATTGTTACACGAACTCTACAGCTTAAGGGATATGATCATTACCTGATTTCAATTAAATATTATTGTAAAAAAATTAGTAACATGATCACTAGTAAAAATGATCGACGTTCACTCTACCCTTAAATTAATTATGATAATTGGTTTGTTAAACTATAATAGTCAACTACTGTATACAGTAATTAGTTAAAAAATTTTGTTAACTATACTGTATATATAAATATTTATTACTATTATACTGCATATTAAATATTACTAATAGTATTACTAACTTTTTTATTTAATATAATCTAATAACAACTAAATACTAAAATAGTTATATAGTATCAATTTGTTTTAGTTACTGTAGTTATTACTGTAATTCTTACTACAGTAAAATAATCTACTATAGCAACAATATTGCTTTAGATTATAGTAATTTATTTATAACTTATTATTAATACAGTATACAGTAATTAAGGTTAAGGCCAGCCCACAAAACGCCGCTGACTTTCTAGTAGGCAAATTTGTAATTAAAAATTTCAAACCTTTTTACTGTTCTATAGCATTTGTACTGCGCCACATATATAACAAACTACAGTATTGTTGATTAGAAGCTGCTAGAACCTCTACTAGAAAAAAATTAATTAATATTACCACTACCGTATAGCGCTGCCTATAGTACCCCCTGATAAAATACCCCCCTCGTATAGTTCCAGGGTACTAATCAACTATAAACGCCAATGTTTTTTGAATAGTACCCCCAGAGGTCTTATTATTAAATGTACTGCTACTTATAGTATTTTCTTCTTTTATAGTACCCCCCTCCTCACACAGTACCCCGGGTACTATTCAAGTCAGCTGAGGGGGTTTCTTGAATAAGACCGGGGGTCTTATAGGCAGCGCTATACGGTAAAGCTTTTACTATTGTAAATTCTCACTGGATGATTAATAAATAATTTTTTTTTAAAAAATGTAATCGCGTCGAATTGTGTAATTTATAAAAAATTATATGATACGTAAAATTTATGTGTGACGTCTCGATCGACTGATCTCTAAAAAAGGTTTCGAAATTTTCTAGGGCCCTTGTACCTTATCGGTTACCGTTATATAAATACGTAATTAGTGATTACGTACACCTTGTAAAATTATAAATACCTGTACTTCAATTTTTTTTTTTTTTTTAAAAAAAAAAAAAGGTGTAGTAAATTATCTATCTTTGCAATGGCACGTATAATAGCTACTCACGCTCTAATTTGTCCAATATGGTCCTTCAAGACAGAGAATATTTACGTTTTTCGTTTCAATAGGGTAATACACAACCTGGCGGTCTTCCTCCACTCGGTGGCCCTGGTGGTGATGATAAGAAAGACGATAAGGTTTATTTTTTCTATTTTCTGTACGATCTCGACTTAATCAAAGATTATGAGCTTACTAAATACTCGCATATAGGATAAAGACAAGAAAAAAAAATGGGAACCACCACTTCCCACACGTGTTGGTAAAAAAAAGAGAAGAGGTCCTGACGCTACGTCTAAATTACCTGCCGGTATAAGCCATGAATAATATCATATATTTTTCCATGAGATACTTGATCAATTTTTCTTGACGATCACTTGCCCTTTGATAGTCTTTCCCACAACGCGGTGTCGATTGAAACTTTTAAAAATGGAACGTATAAAGGATTACTTATTGATGGAGGAAGAATTTGTTCAAAATCAAGAGAGATTAAAACCACAAGAAGAAAAGGCGCAAGTAAGCATTCGTTTTATTGCATTATAATCCTTTATTTAACCTGTCTCGAAAATACTTTTAACAATGATAATGTCTTTAGGAAGAAAGAACCCGAGTGGATGATTTACGTGGATCTCCAATGGGTGTTGGCTCCCTGGAAGAAATCATTGACGATGATCACGCAATAGTTTCTTCTTCTACGGGACCAGAATATTATGTCAGCATCTTATCATTTGTAGATAAAGATTTGTTGGAACCAGGATGTTCAATTTTGTTACATCATAAGGCAAGTACAAAAACGCGTATTTTTTTTTTTGTTTTATTGAATTATATGCTTAATATATGCATTTAATAGGCTATGTCCGTTGTCGGTGTACTTCAAGATGATACAGACCCAATGGTTAGCGTTATGAAACTTGAAAAAGCACCTACAGAATCATATGCAGATATTGGCGGCTTAGAACAACAAATTCAAGAAATTAAAGAATCAGTAGAATTACCCCTAACGCATCCGGAACTTTATGAAGAAATGGGTATTAAACCTCCAAAAGGTGTCATCTTGTACGGAGTCCCAGGAACAGGTAAAGTCAAGCATTTCATTTAATAAAGTATCTACGATTTAATATTAATTATCTTGTATGTGTAGGTAAAACGCTTTTGGCTAAAGCCGTGGCAAATCAAACATCAGCAACTTTTTTGCGTGTTGTGGGTTCAGAATTGATTCAAAAATATCTCGGAGATGGACCGAAACTTGTACGCGAATTGTTTCGTGTTGCCGAAGAACATGCGCCTTCCATTGTTTTTATTGATGAAATTGATGCTATTGGAACTAAACGGTACATAGATTTATGAATCTTATTATGCTTGAATTTATAATTTTAACTGACTTTCTTTTTTTTTAAAAAAAAAATTAATATCATTTATATAATTATAGATATGATTCCAATTCAGGTGGTGAAAGAGAAATTCAAAGAACTATGTTAGAGCTTCTAAATCAGTTAGACGGATTTGATTCAAGAGGAGATGTCAAGGTTAACTAGCTACTAGCTTGTAGAAAAAATTTCTACACATGTTAATATGTAAATAAATAAATTATTAACTTGATCTTTATGTCATAAAGGTTGTCATGGCAACAAATCGTATTGAATCATTAGATCCAGCACTGATTCGCCCGGGACGTATTGACCGAAAGATAGAATTTCCACTTCCAGACGTAAAAACGAAACGTCGTATTTTTAATATTCATACTGGGAGGATGACATTGTCAGATGATGTTGATCTTGAGGAATTTGTAATGTCTAAAGATGACTTGAGTGGAGCTGACATTAAGGTAAATTCTTTGAAAGTATAGAATTTAATAAAAAAAGTGTGTAATTAGAATTTATTAATTTCTTTGTATGTGTTTTAGGCTATTTGTACAGAGGCAGGTTTGCTTGCTTTACGAGAACGTCGTATGAAAGTAATCGCAGAAGATTTCAGGAAAGCACGAGAAAAAGTCCTTTATCGCAAGACTGAGGGCACACCTGAAGGACTTTATCTCTAGTTATTGTTATTGACTGAAAAAAATATCCAATAAAAATGCACATATAGTAGTTAATATTAACTAATCAAAACGACGGTACATACAATTTATAAATAAGTATATAAATGTCACCTTTTAGAAATTAAATTTTGATTAGACGTTAGCTTAGTTTTAAGGTTGGGACTTAAAGCTATATTCTAAATAAGGTTTTAGAATTCTGACCTTATACAACCCTTTATAATATGTATGTTATTAATTTAAAAATTTTAACAAATAAAATTATCGGTATCGGTATTAAAAATTTTGATCATGTGTATTTATTCTTTTGACACACAGCAATAGACCAATTATATATTTTTGATTTTTTACTAAGCGCATAATTACATCGTATATATTGTTCATAAGGTAATGTTTGTGAAATGTTACATAAAATCAGAAGATAATTGGGCATCAAATCTTCGATATAGTTGAAGACAAATCTTAACTGTTAATATATAGTGAAATTAATCTTAAAATCTGTCTATATACGTATAATAGTGTTCTGATCCTATTTATGACGAGCTATCCAGATTATATCTGGATTTTAAAAATCCGATTATATCAGGCTAACTTTGGGCATATTTTTACATCTGTTTTTTGACCGATTTGATTGGTCAATAACACATAAATCTGTAAGTTATTCTAACGCTAAGGATTTCCAATCCGATTAATAATTTAAAATCCGGATAAAATTTCTCGATATAGCGAATTTTTTATTAAAGCCCGATCACATGCAATTTTGTGATTTTGTAGAATCTCACATGACCAAGCACTCGTTTCATACTTATTAATTAAATGGTGATACAAAAATTAATATAAAATAAGTTTATCGTTTATGCCAGTTATTTCTAATTTTCTATTCTACTCACAATGGCTTCAATTTTAAGGTCTTTTTTGGATTGGTTAAGAAGTTTATTCTTTAAGGTTGTATATAACTTGTGTTTTAACCGATTAAGTTTGTCTTTATTATGAAAGAAAAAAGCTTAACAATGCTTAATTGCACAAACTTCGAAGTAGACGGAACTTGAGCTTACTTTAGTCGGTCTGCAAAATAGTGGCAAGACGACTTTAGTTAATGTAATTGCTGTAAGTATTAACTTTATGAATTTCGTTATACGGAAAATTTCACTGACTATAATATGTGAACACATAGTCTGGTCAATTTAGTGAAGATATGATACCGACTGTAGGCTTTAATATGCGCAAAGTCACTAAAGGAAATGTTACTATGAAGCTATGGGATATAGGGGGACAGCCACGTTTCCGCAGTATGTGGGAACGTTATTGTCGGGGAGTAAATGCAATTGTGTAAGTGACCTTTTACTTGATAAGTTATATGGTCTGATATTAATAAGAAAAATATTTTGTTGAAAGATTCGTAATTGATTCTGCCGATCATGAGAAACTAGACGCTGCTCGAACCGAATTACGTAACCTTCTGGAAAAGCCACTACTTGCAAATATTCCGGTTTTAGTTCTGGGTAATAAAAATGATTTACCCGATGCTTTACCTGTTGAGAAGATTATTGATGAAATGTATGTGTTAGAATTTCTCTAATATTTTCACAGTTATTACAAAAATTTTAATCATGTTTTTTTCACAATTATTAGGAATTTAAAATCCATCAATAATCGTGAAGTTTCTTGTTATTCTATTTCAGCAAAAAATCAAGTAAATATTGATATCACTTTGCAGTGGTTGATTAAGAAAGGCAAAGGCACTAAATAAGTGTTTAAGATAGTTGAATTCTGATTGTTAAAATATTTAATTAGACTGTATAAACATCATTTATATATCATTCATTCCTTTTCACAGTTCCTACTATATAACTAACGTAATTGATTTATTTGTTTCGTTATTTTATGTTGTGATTAATATTTATTACATACTACATATAATAACTCATTAAATATTGCTTGTCGATATTATAATGTTTTATGATTTCATTGAAATATAAAGTTTTTCAACTATTGCCAAATTTATAATTACTTTTAGTGTATGCGACATATAATTTAAACAACCTTTATGCAATAATTATTTTATCTTTATTTCATTTCTTTTAATTATTAGTTCAGCACATATCGATATGTACATGAAAGAATCGTATTTATGTCGTGCCTGAAGTTAGCAGATGCCTGAACCCGGCCCAAATTAAGCCCGCCAAATTAGATCTCCTTGCATGCATTTAACCTTATCGTTAAGTACTATTTCAGCCAACTTCAGTACGATAGATTGATTTACTTATCGATATTACGTTATTTTCATACTCTATGACGTGACTACGCATCAAAAAAGCAAAACACTTACGTATAATTTTACTTAACGCTAAAATTTAGTATATACGGTATATATATATAATAATATATAAATTTAATCAGGTTATATCTCAAGTACCGACATTACGAAGGTTTGCCAGTATTATCGTTATTGCATAGTTTGATTAAAATATATGATTCGCATTGAGTATCACAATTACGGCATTCTAACTTATTAATGTGTTAAAAGTTATATTTGTACGAAATTTATATTACTTGTACAGGCCTGAAATAATAAATCAAAATTTTACCTAAATAAGTCATAGCCTATCGCAATTCATTAAATAAATACTAATACTTAGTTGGCTAGTATTATCGTAAAGTATATATTTACAATGACTTGAGATGTACCCGGTATACGTTTTTTTTTATTCAATAAAAATTTTATTCTTTTGAGATATAATTTATATGATATCCCGATTTACAGTAAATCAATTTTTTAATTTCCAAAGTGCTCTTGGATATAGTGCATGCAGTAGAACGATCTACTAGTTATTATTGTAGCATTTATACGTAATACTCAATATTTATAACTTTATCAAAAGAGCTTAAATAGTATATATTTAGAAATACAGTATTGTGATATGCTGTATATTACGTATACAAGAAAATATTTAAATAAATATTTCCCATTTTGGTTATCTTTAATATAGGTAATTAATATAAAATTATAAAAATAGCTATTTTGAACTAATTTATAGTAAGGGTTATGGTTTAAATTTAGCTCAAAATAGTTAGTTTTTATATATTATAATTTTATAATAATCCTACTGTATATTGCCCACCTATGCTAAATTTTAATTTGAATTTTATTATTTTTTTTATTGCTATATATATATTTTTAAATATTACACCATTACAGCATTACTACAGTATAATTTAGATATTATACTGTATTATACTGTATTATATTACAATTTTTTTATTTTTAACCTAATTATCAAAATACTTTTATTATAGTAAAGCCTTTATAAGTATACTCTCTATAAGTGCATATCCTCTCTAAATACACATTCAAATTTGAGCCCAATTACGCATATAAACAATCTTTATAAATATACTTTTTCTAATTGTATATATATTATTAAAGTTTGGTTCCAAGCGTGTGCACTTATAGAGGTTTTACTGCATTGTTCTCTAATTGCACGTTGTTAAAGTTTGGATCCAAGTGCGTGAACTTATAAAGGCTTTATTACTATATACGTATACAGTATATATAAAGCATTATACCAGATATATACATTATATTTATACTGTAGTTATAATAAAAATTAAGTTTAGCAATTTGAAATAAATTAAATTTGGTCTTAAAAAAAAAAATAAATAAATAAATAATTTGTATGTTTAATTAAAATCTATAATTCTGTATATATTCTAATTTATATTCAAAACTACATACTGTATATATATATTATACTTTTATTAAATCTAACTAATTAACCCAATTTATGTTAAAGTAGGTTTAAAAAATATAATTATAAATTTGAAACAATCCAAAGCAACTCAAAGCAGGTTTAAAATCAAAAAGTTTAATAAAGTAAATTAGAAATCAAATTAATTCAAAATAATATAAGAATTTTTTTTTTTTTTTTTTTTAATGTTAAAGGAAATAATATAAGAATTAACTATATACATTATATATTGTAAATATAATATATACTGTATATATCAGATATACATTTAAAATAAATTATTAATAAAGTTTTATGTATTTTTTTAAAAAATTAGTAACGATATTAAGTCAGATTACGGTAATTAAATTAGTATACTTGTTATTAACAAAAAAAAAAAGGTACAGTACAGTATAACATCCTTATTTTAATAAATTTTTTGATACTTATTGTTATAATTGCTGTATTAAAAAAAAAGTTTACTTTGAATTGAGTAAAAAATGTAAAGATTTTTTTTAATATTTATAGTTTTTGCAATATAACATGAATTCACATAATAATTTACCAAAAAATTAATATAAAGCCATTTATAATTATGTAAAATAAAAAAACACCCTTTACTACACCAAGTAATAAAATAGTCTAAAGAAAAATAAACTGTATAAAATTTTTTCATAAATTTAACCAAAAAAACCCTTGCAACACTAATCCAACAAAATAACAGATGCAAGTGTCTAGAAAGGTTGTTAATATTGTGAGGTAATAATAAAGTCGACTCGAAACAAAGCACATATATATTAATAATATAAAAACCAAAAAAATAAATTGGTTTAACATATGTTAAGTAGTAATAAACAAGAAAAATTAGCGAATAAAAAATTAAAATAAAAATAGTTATAAATTATTAATTTTTCTTGCCAAAAATTTTGCTGCCTTTTGAGACGCTACAGAAACAAAGAGAATTTTTTAGTTTTATTTTCCGAATTATGGAAGTAAATATATATAAGCTCAAAAAACATAGCAAACACAAATTATAAAACAAATAGCCACCTTGCGCTTCGATTGGCATTATATAACTCTTGGAATTCACGCTCTTCTGCTGCGAGCGCCAAGCGTTGTTCTTCTAATTCTGCCAT